AGCCAAAGATGTTAGAATTGTGTCGATGTCCCAATATTTCTGGACCTGACTGTATATTTTATTGAATATACATATGGAGAAAAATACTTATGGAGAAAATAAATCAATTTGTTCTATCTGATGCTAATCCTTGAAAGAGAATTCTTATAAAATATGGGAATCTCCCAGGGAAGATTCAACACATGGCACCCTTTATAGTCAAAGGAGGAAACAACTGACAAAGAGACAGGGTTCTTAATTTATCTTTATGGTAGCTTGCCAGACATCTCATGCAAACATGTTTTCAACTGAGGGTAACTTTTTGCTGGGTGGGGTAACTTGGAGAGGATCAAAGTAGAGTGAGGATAAGAAATAGATGGATGACATCCCGTACATGGCCAAGGCAGGTTTTTTCATTGTGTATGTGTGTGTGGGTGTGTGTGTGAAGGGTATTTGGATTTTCCCTTAAGTTTTAAACAATATTAAGTAATTTTACTTCTTGAAATGCAGGAAGTCACGATACAAATTTGGCAACTGTGCTGAGGACTGTTTGCAATACTGTCAGACTGAGCCCTGGGACTGCAAAAGCAGGGCTCTGCATGACACTCACTTTTCAAGTTGCTTGCTAAGGTTTTTAATGGCCCCATGGCCTGGGAAGAACTTTTTATCCTAGAACAGGTAGTCCTTGCTTAACGACCATTCATTTAACGGCAGTTCGAAATTATGACGGCCTTGGAAAGGGTGCTTTATGGCCTGTAAAGCACTTCTGGCCATTGTAAAATGTCACGGTGCCCCCCCTCCACAGTCACATGGCCGCATCTCGGGCACTTGGCAACCAGCTCACATTTATGCTGGTTCCCAAGTGCCCTGCAATCATGTGATTGCCATTTGTAATCTTTTCTGCCGGCTTCCCCATTGGAAGCCGGCAGGGAAAGTTGCAAGTGGGGGCTTCAAATCTTCAGGATTTGAGGTCCACAATCGCCCAATTGACGTTTCCGCTCCCATTTCAGCAGTGGGCAGTTATGGACCTCAAATCTTCAGGTGCTCCATTCACCACCAAGAGAGGGGAGGGGAAAGAGGACAGAGCAAAAGAGCACATTTCTGTTTTAAAATGGACTGTTCTAACCTTACTGGAAATGTTCCACACTCAAAACAGCTGTACAGTTCAAGATCAAACCATGTGCTCCAAGCTCAAAATGGAGCTGTTTAGGGTTCAGATCACTTCTAGTAAGGTTAGAACAAGATTAGGACACTTCTGAAAGGTTGAAATGCCACATTTTGAACTCAAAACCCTTTATACCCTTCTAATAATTCATGTTATATCCTTTATTTAAAAAACAAGTAAATCAAATGCCCACCTTGGGTTCTCTGAGCTACCCAAAACCGCCCGGCTGTTTCCAACACCCAGGCTTCAGTACGGTCCACCAGGAGGAAGGTGTTATGGTAGACAAAAGGAGTTGGCGCCTCCTTGCAGCTGCCCCCTTGACCATAACTTTCCAGAAGGGAGGTTATGACTCGGACTGCTTCACCAGCACTGCTGCCCCTCTCCAGACCCAGTCTGAAATGCAGCACTTCATTGTTATTCATTTTTCAAGCATGTTTAGCAACTGCTTAATTAATATATTAATTAACATTTTTAAAAGGCACCCTATTATTTCAGTGTATGTAATAAAGGGTCTTTTGCGGGGAAGGAGGAAGATAGGGGCAGGACAGGATGGCAGTGGGATATAAATTTGATCAATAAATAAAGACAGCACCAGTATTTTAATTTTTTCTTAGCTTCTCTGGTTGTGAAATAGAGAGCATTCCCTACGTTCTGTAGCAACCCACTACATCTTAAAATACTTTCCAAAGCCCATTTGGCTTTAGTCAGACTAGAGTCTCCTTCAAGTTGAAGTTAGCTGTTGGTGACATCATGGAAACATTCATATGGTTTCCTGACAAGTTTGCTCTGCCTTCTCTCTTGATTTTTAAAAAATTTCCCAGCCCAGCATACAGCCTTAGGATTTCTTAGTGGCCTCTCATCTGAGTACTCATCAAGGCTGATTCTACTTCAGTTTGGAGAAACTCAGCTAAGTTTGGCTAGTTGCTAGTTTAAAATTAATTAAGGAAATTTGTATGGGTGCCCAACTGGCATAAATGCAACTCTGGGCAGTTACATATCAGTTACAATTAAAATTACAACAATTAACAGAGAGCCAGCTTGGTGTAGTGGTTAAGATGCTGACCTAGAAACCAGGAGATTGTAAGTTCGAGGCCTCCCTTAGGCATGAAATCTGGCTGGGTGACTTTGGGCAGGTCACTCTTTCTCAGATCAACCCACCTCAGAGGGTTGTTGGGGAAAATAGGAGGCAGGAGTATTAGGTATGTCACTGCCTTGAATTATATACAGTATATAAAAATGATGGGATAAAAATATCTTCCTCATCATCCTCCTCAACAATCAGGACCTCTCAATATACACTACACCACATGAGGCAGGATCACCTGTCACCCTGGCCTTTCTAAAAGCCAACAGGTTGGGGAGATCATTCCAGAGAGCAGGTGCTGCAACAGAAAAGGCATACCTCCTAAGTCCCATCAGGTGACATTGCTTCAAGGAAGGGATCTGAAATGCGCCTCTTCTATTAAAGCATGTGGGATGGTGTCAGCCCACAGACGGGCAGAAATAATTGGAGGAAGGTGATCCTGCAAATAACCTGGTCTTATGCCTTGTAAAGCTTTACAGGTCCACATCTTGAATTGCACCTGGAAACCTACAGGGACCAGCTGACAAGCAGTGATATTACATGGATGTACTGAACTGCACCCACAGCTATCCACATCCTGCATTCTGGGCCAACTGCAGCTTCCAGATGATCTTCAAGGGCAGCCCATGTAGAGGGTGTTGCAATAGTCCAACTGAGAGGTGATTAAAGTATGAGTGATCTCAAGCAAGGCCTCCCAATCCAGGAACACAGGGAGGTGCTTGTCCCGGGCACAAGGTTAAAGAAAAATTATACATTTTAAAATCAAACTTTAAAGGGAGGGAACCAGCCAAATTTTGTAGTCTGTTCCAGGTCCCCTGAAAACCTCAGTTCTCAATGCATGACGCAGGCATGAACAGATCAATGCCTTCTGGTATGCAGGATTGTATTTGGCAATTATAACTGTATTGCTGGCCTGCCCCCCCACGCCCTTGCCCCAATCTTTTAGGGTTGGTGCACACATTTAAATTTTGGAGGAAAAGTCACCAACAGCTTCACAATATGGCAGTTATGTGGATGTGATTAGTTACAAATACTTATTCTACAGGAAGGGAAAATGGCAAGGCTAGAAAATAAATAATTTGCTTCAGAGCCTGAAGGGGAGGCAAAGATGGGAAAGATACAAACTTACTCTTTTGAGCCTACAGTTCAGTCTCTGTATTCAGAAATCATGGTTGATGTATGAAGGCGGCCTTTGACAGAGCCTGTCTTCATATCAGATCAGTAATAAAGCAGTTTGAGTTTTGATGCTGACTTGATAGGAGGCCAGAAGCAAAGGCAACATTAGCACATCAGTGACAAGAGAGCATTGTGGTGAAATGCCAAAGTGGCACCGCTATAGAGAGGCAGAGAATGTGCAGGTGTTGGGTGTGGATCCTACCAGTTACACAACACATTATGTCGTTTCCTACCTGACCAGATCCATGCCCAGCAAGGCTTCCTCCTCCCCAACCGGCTCTCGACTCCACACGCCTTCGTTGCCAATGCAGACACCATGTTCATTGGCACCCATTTCAGCTCCCCACAGCCAGGCAGGCCGACTCAGGATCACTGCATGGGTCTTTTCTACCTGATCCACTTCAATATATGTACACTATGGAGAAAGACAGATTCTGCAACAAACCACATCCACCAGAACTCTGAAGATAGTTTAATTCTTGCTTTAATCTCCAAGTCTGGATGACCGCAACATGCTAAGTCAAAGCCCCATCTTAGAAAAATGCAATGACAAACTTCTACCTCAGGTCAAGAAAATCACATGGATGTATCCACATACGTCACTAAGAGTTGTGCTCAACTTGTGGGTGACTTCACTGTTTTTACATGATCAAACAAACAACTACTTACTGTGTTGTACAAATACAAGCAAAGAGCAAGAGCTGATTCTACTGGCATACTGCCCTTGGAGACAAAAATATTTATCCTTGTATCTAAATGCAGCCTTCCTATCAGGATGGGATGTGTTAACCTACAAGACTGTTCTGGATGGAGTTTGTTAATTTTTTCTTGATAGCATTTGGAATATGTTGTGCTCTTGTCTCATCTTGGAACTTCAATGCATTAACCTTAAGAAGCATTTCTATCTACGATGGATGAACTAATTACCCAGAAGTTGGTGGGCCATGCTTTTATTTGGATTCCTGTACTAAGCAAAGAGCTGACAAGGCCTAAACAACCCTTCCAACCAACCCTCTCCCCCTTCCCTGATTTCAACTCACCTGAACCTTTGTCCCTTTGGCATGAAATCTGGCTGGAAAATAGACAACCTCCTGAACTTCATCTTTTGGCCGATCTGAATTCTTGCCAAAAATGACCTCTCTGGCAGAAGAGGCTGGGGGAAGTGAGACAAAGCAGTCACAGGAGGACGGTACAGGGGAGCGGAGACTGGCCATTCTATCTGTGTAAAATTACAAAGAGAGAGTTGAACATTGCAACCTTCACATTCTGTTTTTT